GCGCGGCCGCTCGGCACCCATGAAGGTGGCGGCGGGGACTTTGGCGGATCCACTATGAGTGGAGAGCCTCGACATCCGGGGCGGCGGCCCCGGGCGGCGGCCAGCGGCGTGGCTTGTGCGGCGGGCGGCGCCGCAGGGTGCAGGTGGGCCGCCTCCCAGGTCGTGCGGGCGGCATGGAGGCGGTGGGCGTCGGCGGCTGCAGCAGCTCCTCGTAGGCCGGCTGTTCCTTGGAGAATCGGCGTCCTCTTCCTCGATCTGCTCCGATCCGCGCCGCCCCCTGTCCCTGGTGGCTCCGGCCGCCGTTTCTGGATGCCGGGTGTGCGGATCTGGTGGTTGGGTGCGGATCCGGGGGAAACCCCTGGCCGGCGCGGCGGCCACACTGAAGATGTCGCCTTTGGGCATCGTTCTCCTTGCTGAAGGCTTCGGTGGGCTTCCTGCACCTCCCACCCCACCCAACAGCTCAGGTGAAAGCCTCAGTTCCTCGTTTCATGGCGACGACGACACATTGGTGGCGTGAACCTTCCTGAAGGCGTCGTCAGGGAAGTGCTCAAGTGGTGGTGGAGTCGGTGGTGGTTCGACGGCGGATTGTATTGGCCTGATCCTCATCTTTGGCAACTTGTTCGGGTCCAGGTGTGGAGGGTTGCCTCCTATCCTTGACCGATGCGTGGTGTTGCATACTCTTGGCCTTCTCCGGGGTTTTCAGCGCCTTCGTCTCGACAACTCTCGTCCGGTGCTCTGTCTTGCTGCTGCCGGCAACGGTGACTGGGTGTTCGGCTCCCCGTTTTCGTGTGGGTTTGTTCCTGATGCATCTCCTTCGGTTGCTTGGGAATGCTGATCTGGGTTCTAGGGTGAACCACTCCGCAGGCCGCCGGTGCGGCACCCGCCGAGCCCGGGTGAAAGGGTAGGGGCCCTTTGCGGAGGCGGAGTCAGGTCATGTGTTGCCCCTGTTTTCCTTCTGATGGCAATCAGTGACACAAAACATGCACGGTGGTGCCTTCCTCCCATAGCCTTAGTAGGTTAGCTGGTTTCGGCTTAGCGGCGTTCGATGCCTTCGAGTTGTTCTACTGAGCATAATGTATCTTTATTTCCGCTCTTTGTTTCTTGTTGTAAGTGGTAGTCCTGTAATCCTGGCCGGTTGATGGCTTTGTTAATTCAAAGTCGGGCTCTTCTTGAGCCTTCGTTCTA